CGGCCGCATTCTGGACCATTTGGAGCCTCCGGGTGCTCCTCAGAGGGAGCCCCATGTAGAGGGCATTACAGTAGTCCAGGCGGGAGGTGACGAGAGCATGAGTGACTGTGCGCAAGGCGTCCCGGTCCAGAAAAGGCCGCAACTGGTGAATCAGGCGAACCTGATAAAACGCCCCCCTGGTCACGGCCGACAAATGGTCCTCTCTTTTCTACTGATTATTAACAGTTTCCAGATTTTGGAAACTTTGGATCACCTTGTTCAGGCTGAATGTGTTCCTTCAATCAGGTGTAGAGCTTTGTCCCTTGCTTACTGTATCTCCAGATTCCTAATTTCACCTTCCAAAGATCTGATACATGTTTTGATTAGTTGAGAGAATCATGACATTTTGATTAGTTGAGAGAATCATGATTAACGCATAATTCTTATGGCTTGAAAATAAGGTATTCTATTTTTGTTACTTATAATGTGTATGTTCATATTCCCATATTCCAGTCTGTTCATGGCAGTTGGAGAGACAGGGTATTCATACACAGAAATCCCCTTTGAAGACGCCAGCACCACGGAGATATGCTCCTATGCCTGTATCTAAAGATGCTCAAATTTCACAGAAAATGGCAAAGAAAGAGCTGTCTTTTGGAGAGAAAGAAAATGTGTCTTGTGGTAAAACTCTAGGTAAGGAAAATGTAGATGTAAAGCCTGTTGCAATGTTTCTTTTTATTTGGTTAATTGTTATTTAGCATGTTAATTATAGAATAATAATGTATTATAATGTCCCTTGGGTGTACTAGCCTTTGAGAGGAAAAACACTATTGCTCCTCTTCAAACCTCCAATTTCTTCTTCTGGATCAGTGGTAGATAACCTTTGGGGCTATATTTGCAATTTTGAGAATAATCTTGTGCTCATTATCATAAAATGTCACATAAGGAACTTTTCTATTTCTAAAACGATGAGGAAGCAGAGGGATTATATGTCCATTCACAATATTCTGATACCATCCCACTTGGTTGGATTCATGGTGGATATTATAATATAAATAAGAATTAAAATAAAATGAAAGAATGCTAAATTAAATTAGCTGCTGACTCTGCAGGTAAATTATCTGCATTCTAATCGCCTGGTCAAATAAAACAACTTTCCCCCATTTTTCTATTACTAGTTTTACCTGGGCAGATGGCACATTCCCATGCTGTAGTGACCTCTCACTTATCATCATGGAACATATCTGGGCCTTAGATACATTGTTTTTTTTAAAAAAATGATGTTAGAAATTAGAAGTATATTAGCTTCTCACTTAATTTTTAAAATGATGACTGGGAATGCATCTTTACTGAATACAATGGATGATGGAGTTGTGCTTCAGCCTGTATTCTTAATACCACTGTATTAATTCCAAGAAACAAAAACTGTTACTTTACTCCCAAACTGACATCTGTTATGTAATTTAATATTCCATAAGGTACTGAAAACTGAAACATTGCTATCACTATTAACAAAACCTCGGTTCTGAGCTTATAAAGAGCAAGTGCTTAGCCTGTAAATTAGGATTCAAAAAAGTTTTGTCTGTCTTTTACAAGAAGTATCTTATAGAATTCCTTGTTCTCTTTTTCTCCAGTTCAGAAAAAGGCGTTACCAAGGTACTTTATGAGCTGTTCCTGGCATATTTATTTGCATGCCAGTTCTCCCCTCTGTTTATCTTTCATTCTTACCTTTTCCTTCTCTTTGTGGCAAATTTGCATAGTCCTCTGGATGTAAGCACTAGAGCTCACAAGTCCAGCAAACCCCTTTTTTTCTTCTAAGACATTTTTACTTAGCCAAAATTTCCTTTTCCAGTTCAGTCTATTCTCTTTGTATCCCAAAATGCTCAATTAACACTGCTGTGTATTGCTTGTTTGCATCTTCATTGCCCTAGGATTTCTTCAACTCTTCCTTCCTTCCTTCCGTCAATCATTATTTAAGTTTCTCAGAACACCCACTTTTACTTCTTACATAATCCTCAAATCTAGACACCCTCATATCCTATGTAAAATTCTCAGATTATTCTTCTGTTTATTGTGTAAATACTGCACATCTTCTAACTGTCTTCTTAACTGTTGCTTCCTTCTCTTTACTATTGCCATTCACCCCTTCTCCTTGTATTAAAAGAAATCTTATAGTGGACCTGCCAAGATAGTTAATTACAATGAAGTTTAACCCTATAAATTACTGTAGCCTCAAGCTTTAGCTTGACCTTTTGAACAAGCATTTTCAACTATTTTCAGTTGTGTCTTTCATCTTTAAATTATCTTAACTTTTAATATGTCAGTGTTAGGAACCTTTTATCCGTGGTATTAAACTGTGCTATTGAAGCTCCTTTGCTAGGCTTACTTATACAATGGGAACCACATGGAGATGTCTTTTCTAGGCTTTCTTCTTTGTAATTGGTTAGAAAATGAATTATGTGCATTCTGTTTAAATCCCATTAATTCATATGCAGTGCATTTTATGCCTTGTTCTATATTTGCACATGGTGATTATTACATAAACTCTTAATTTACAATTTAACATGTGATATTTTTTCAAATTACTGTGTATTGGCTAGAACATTTTTTTCCAGCATTGTATTAAATTATAGCATGCTTTTTACAGAGGCAATACAGTAAAATATGCTGAAGATGATTAAATGCATGCCAAGATATAAATTCTAAAAGTGAAAACGCCTGCCAAGATAAGATTTTAAAACTGGAAATGCTAATTCTCTCAGAATACAATAAATACTTCTTATTGAAAATGCATAGTCTGTGTGTCCTCCACCTCCGAATCTTTTAAATACATTGCAATATATGGTTGTTGTTTTTCCTCCACTAGGTGGAGGGAAATTTCTGGAGCAAATCCTGAAAGCACACGAAACTCCATTAAATCCGAGCACATCCTCAGAGGCAAGCAACCGGACAGTGCCATGGCATTTGGGGAGCGAGCAGTAAGTATTTCTTTAGTTCAGTGTTCCTCATCCTCAGCAGCTTAAGATGTGGAGAAAGAATACATATAGGTATCTGAGTTTATGTACGCCAAATAGGGCAAACTGAATTAATATGCTGTCATCTGTATAGGATGGTATTACAGTATGTAGCCTGGTAATTTTTGAAAGAGCAAAATATCTGGAGGGCAGTTGGTTGGATGTAACTGATTTAGAAAATCTCAGAAGATAAAATATTATTTGTAATCTCAGTGGGCATTAATGATAATTTAAAAATATTATTTTTAGCAGATCCAGCATTCCTCAGACAGCATTCTCTATATTTAAAAGCGCAAGTGAAGATCTTGATTCCATTGGGAAAACTGTGAAAAAAGCAGATGATGTGCTTCATGATCTTGGGCAATTGAAAAAAGAAATGCATAATATCCTGCAGGTAAAAATGCTTGTGTGTTGTGTATTTAAGTAGAGACTGGACAGCCATATGTTTGAAATGGTATAGGGTTTCCTGCCTGAGCAGGGGGTTGGACTAGATGACCTCCAAGGTCCCTTCCAACTGTATTATTATTATTATTATTATTATTATTATTAATAATAATAATAATAATAATAGGAAAAGAATCTTGACATGCATAGATATTTATTGTGACTTAAAATATTGCTTCATAAACATCTTTAAACTTCCTCATAAGCACACAAACTTACACACAAGTGCTATTTAGTAAGAAATCGCTTCGGTCAAGACCTTGAAAAATTTTGATATGTGAAAAAAGGGAACTTCAGCTTTTACAGATATTGATGAACTTCAGCTTTGGTGAGCAAGTTGGTGAGCTTGCTCCCTCATTAGCCATGCTGAAATTATTGGAGGTGTGGTTTAATTTCTAGAGCCAAAGGTTCTCCCTTCTGGTTCAGAGGCAGTTTCCTGAGGGTGATAGTTTGCATTCTGAAGAAAAGAGAAAATCTCTATAATTCATAAAGGGGTGATGTAGACAGCAGGTATCAAGAAAACTGCAGTGACCTGTCCAAATAGTCCAGAATCAGACATGATTGAAGAGAAAAAAAATAGCTAGGACTGCTCTGCATGTTCTTAGAGATTACTATCTGGGTTCGCACATTGTAGTAACCTCATTATAGTTTGCTTGGTTTTAACTTTGTACAATGGACGTAGCCACCATGGATTCCCCCCCTCTTAATTTTGCCTTTATTCAGCTTATATGACTATCCACTAAACAGGTGACTTAGGACAGTGTATACAGTTATAAGCAAAAATACATTAATACATATTGCACCACAGGCAATTCAGGCAACCAGAAACAAAATAGGCTCACAAAACATCCTGATCCAGGCTTGGTAGGAAAACCAGGTCCTTAGAGAGCCTGGGCAGGGCCATCTAGATCTTGGAGGGAAAGCTATTCCACAGGGCAGGCATAGCAACAGAGAAGATCTGTTTCCTGATCCCTCCCAGATAACACTGCTTAAGTAAAGGGACTGGAGTATGCTAACCCTATCAGATCTTATTGGGCCGCCAGAGGTAATTAAAGCAAATGGTTCCAGAAATGGGCAGGTCCTGTGCCATGAAGGGTTTCATGGGTGACATGCACTACCTTAAATAGCACCCTAACGCCTAATGGCAACCAGTGCAGCTTGTGAAATAACAATGTTAACAGTGGGCATAGTGTGCTCATGACTGCATTCTAGGGCACCATAGTATTCTAGACCAGATGTACTGTAGCTTCTGAGTAGTTTTAAAATGTGTTTAGAAATTGAGCATGTTATGTCAGACTTAGCATCCAAAAGGATAAAGAGCAGTTTATAAGTATCCTAAATAAACAGATATAACCCCGCAGTGAAAGAACATTATATAGTTTTCAGAGGAATATAAATTGTGTAAATAATAGTCTTCCACTGTAGTATGTCTGTGTAGAGACCTTTCTATAATGCATTTTTTATACTTACAGGATGCAAAGGACTGGAAATCAGACATGAACAATTTCGTGAAGGTTCTGTTTCAGTTTATTTCTTAAACCATATATCCAATGGGTTTTAATTTGAAGGCACTCATGCTGCCTCAATAAAATGCACTAAAATGAACAATACGATAGTATCATCATGTGCTTGATTTTTTATTCCTGCAATTAAATTATTAGTCATGATGGGTATATGTTATTTCCTATATAAAAAGCATTAGATATGTCTCTCAATTCTACTTCCTGTGAACATAGGAAGGAAAAGTGCTATTGTTCTCATGCTTGCTAATCAAATTTCTTTGATTATCTACTTTGAGTATAAAATGGTGAGCTAGATAGGCCTCTGATTTTATCTAGCAGGGTTTTTGTGTTTTAATTTTTAAAGGATTTAAGAACATGAAACTGTTGAAATTCACTATATTGGTAGGTTATGTTGAAGTTTAAAAACCTGGACTGGATTTCAAATATTTCACTTGTATCTGCCAACTATGAATCGCTTCTTAGATACCTCAGAATTTTGCTCCTTTCAACCAGTGCAAGGCTGGCAGGCCAGAGACACTAGCAAAACAAATATCAACACATCAAACTACTGTTAGTCTAATATCCATCCTATGTACAGTAATTAAGACATAGGTTCTTCTGCTTCAAATTCACCCACATACTACTACTCTGTACCAAAAGAGGACTAATACTCTAGAAGGCTTTGCAGCTGGTTTTGTTTTAGTGTCTCTTTCTGTAGATAGTTTTCATAGTTTTCTTCATTAAAATATCTGTTCAGGGGCATCAATTATCTTTTTCCTTAAACTGCAGACAACCTCATACCCAAAAGAAGCTGGCCAAATGAAGGACCACCTCTCTTCTCATCAACCTGTCCCCTCATCAGAGGTCCTTCTCAAAATGCCCTCACAAACTGAGGTATGACAGGGAGCAACCAGGTAATGGGCTCAATCACAGTTCCTTGTTATGGATCCCTAAGGTTCATCTGATAGCCACACTGCTGTTTGGGGTGGGATGCAGGCATAAGTCCCTGATTTTCCTACATCTTTGAAGATGCTTTACCTTTAAGTTAGATGGTAATGTCTACAGAGATTCTCAATCTCCAGGTCACGGTTGTCCCAAAGGTGCTTTTTCAGCAGGCAACTGGACTTTCTTGTTTTTCTTTGAAGACGTTTCACTTCTCATCCAAGAAGCTTTTTCAGCTCTGGCTGGATGGTAGGGAATGGAATTAGATGGTAATGATTGAGTAATTCTTTCAAAGCCCATGTAACTCAAACAAAAGTTAATTTTCAGGTAGAACATATAGTAATAGACTTCTGATGTTTCTTGTGGGTTAGTGTACTTCTATTCAAATGCTTCAGAAACATTTATATATGTTTTCATGTCCATAGATAATTTGTCATGTAATAAAAATAATATTATTAATTTTATAACTGCTCTATATTCCAGGAGGTTCCTATTAGCAATCTCCTTGAGTGCTTCCCTCAGTTTAGCTCTGTGCTAGTATCAAAAGCAGCTCTTCTTTTTATTTTACTGATAGAAGAGTTGTGCAATATTATGTGGCAATATAGAGAGGGCCATGTTATAGGCAGGATAAGAAGCAACGGATGGAAACTAATCAAGGAGAGAAGCAACCTAGAACTAAGGAGAAACTTCCTGACAGTCGGAACAATTAACCAGTGGAACAACCTGCCTCCAGAAGCGGTGAATGCTCCAACACTGGAAGTTTTTAAGAAGAGACTGGGCAGCCATTTGTCCGAAATGGTATAGGGTTTCCTGCCTGAGCAGGGGGTTGGACTAGATGACCTCCAAGGTCCCTTCCAACTTTATTATTATTAGTATTACCTCTGACTGTGAATGTCCTCTACTCACAGAGCAGGCTAGAATCAATCATTAGTTTAGTTTTAAATACAAAAAAAATACTTTGCACAAGGCAAGGCACTTAGCTTAGCCTTCTAGATTTTTATTGCATTTTGCTGTTTCCACTAACTTTATTACACCTCAAGATCAAGTAATATATTGCAAGTTGTAAACATTAAAACAAAGAATTAAAATAATATTCAGTTCTTTTCAAATTGCGTATAATTTAATGGTTACTATTCTTTCTTTTGCTTTTTTCATATTTTCCCCAAAAGTAAGCCCTTCTTCAATAATTAAAAATTGAACTTCTTGCATAAAAAGAGAAGTCAGTATTGAACAAGTTCTCTGTGCTTGCAGAATGGATTTTTGCCTCCTCGTGTGCTTCTTTTTTCAGATATGCCACAAAATCTGCCAATTCTTCGGAGCAAATTCTAAAAGCATAGAAGAAACTGTGCGTGCAGCTGATTTACCATCTTAATTTGTAGGAACCGTTTATAGATGAAATTCAATATATCTTAGGTTGTTAGCTTTTAGTGTCATTTTTAAAATTTCTTTGGATTTCAGCAAAAAGACCTTTTTGAACTTCACCAACTTTCCAAGTCATCCATTCTTCAGTCAAGCAAGGCATCCAAATCTATCCTGAGAGACGCTGAAAAGATCCTAAGAACAGTCCGCAAGAATAAAAGGCTTCTTGAAGAAAACCTGGAAGCCATTATTCGTGCCAAGGATGCTGATGCTTTGCATGCCTTCATAGATGAGTTGACAGCAGATAGGTAGAGAGTTCTGTATTTTGAGTTTGCATTTTCTTTGTTCTAGCAATATCATTTCCCTCTTCAGAATTACAACCATTTAAAACGGACTAATATGAATTTTGTTTCTATCCTTTGTAAGGGAGGGCCAAAATAGTGGACAAATATAAAATCACACATCACCTGTATAGTAAAATTAACCCCCAAAAAACCCTCACTCATACCATTAACATGAATTAAAAGAGCTTCTCAACCAACTCTTAAAATCTATGTCTAGGAAAATATTTAGAAACATTTTGATCTAAAGATGAAAAGCGTAGAGCCTTGGCATCCCTGACTTTCTGAAGATAGGTTTGTCACATAAAGATAAGTTTGTCACATTTCCAATTATAGATCAGTGGGATTAAAAGCTCCTGAGATCCAAGAAGGTATGATATCCATCCAAGATTGTTTTTAACTATGTTAAAATGAATGGAAGGGAGATAAGTGAGAGTCCTGAAAATAGAAGCAGGCAATTGTTTTCTATATTTTGGATGGTCAGGGATTACAGTAAATATGAGCATGATATGATACAAGTAATAAGATGGGATCCTTATATTGGGTGGTTGTAGTTGTTTTATTTATCTCTGACAACTTGTAAGAAATCTTAAATTTGTTTATCAGCAGATTGCAGAGAAATTTCAGGACCAAGATTTTATTGATGAGGGGGCAGGTAGGAGAACTAAAAAAAAAAAAAGTTCAGGGCCTCATGGTGACCACTCTTGTCCGTCTGTATAGTTTAAGTGTACACACACACACACACAAACACAAATGGGCAGCATTTCTAGCTCTCTCTGTCTTTCCACTGTATGAGCTTCAAACTCTTTTTTAAAGCAAAGTTTTTCATTTTTGACGATATGATCCTCTAATTTTCTACTGCTGTTCCTCTCTTCTAGAGATGTCCTAGAGGAAATACGGATCAGGAAAACTGTAGACGATTGGATTAAGACAATCAGCATGGAAATTCAGGTGTGGCAGCAGAGTGGTTTGTGGCAAAATACAACTCTGCCAAATGATTCTCTAATTCTTTCCCAGAGAAAGACATTTCACATCCCAATATTGAATTTCTTTGGAATTTCTGCAAATGGTAACAGACATGGCTATCTCTAGTTTTTTAATTCAAGGCGCTATAACTTCAAAGTTCTTACCACTTGATTGTGCAAAGTTTATTGTAGAACTGTCCGTTATCTGTGAATATAGGGCTCCTCCAAATGTAGCAAGTTATACAAATTGTGGAAAATAACTTCTCCATTTCCCTTTCTTTGGATCGATTTTGAGTGCTTTAATATATAGTTGAAGGAAATACCTACTTTTGGAGAAAGGCAAGGATTGATTAGCAATCTTGGGGGTTCACTAAATCATTAGACAACTGTCCAGATTGTTCTTTTCTTTTAAAATAGCAACATTTTGCATAGTAGCAGAAGTTAGCAAAGTTCTAGAAGTGCTGCTTATTTGCATAGCCTTTATGACAATTTAGACTGCAGAAAATTGGAAGAATGATAGGACAGAAGCAAATAAAAGGAATGTATTTCCTTTTTGAGACTTCAACATTTTTTTAAAAAAAATCTGTACAAATTTATTTTATGTCATTGCTGATATTAGGCACGAGCCCTTAAATCTTGTATATTGCATCATAATACCAATTGCCTTCCCTCCTATTGATACTGTCAGCACTAATGCTCACACATTAAAACTCCATCAACCTTTATGTTAATCTAAAAGCTATCATTTTATTTCTGCTTTTCTGCTTTGTTTTTAGGATGAAATGGCAAGGAAGGACTACCTCAAAGCACAACAGGCCACCAGGACAGCCAGCAGAGAAACATATGCAAAATCTCATTATGGTCAAAGAATCCCCCCAAAAAGACTTTTGCCTACAGCAAAGCTGTCTCCAAAACTGCCAGACAAAGTGAGAATGCATTATGTGGGAGCTGTTAGGGGCTAAATCTAGTTCAGGCTGGAATCAGCAGAGGCCCTCTGATCAGGAACTGCATGAAGAGGAGGAATTTGTCCCTTGCTTATTTAGTACAGGTAGTCCTTGGGTTACGACAGCAATTGGGACTGTCCCTAAGCAATGTGGTTGTAAAACATGATGTCATGCGACAACATCTCTTGGCAACAGCAATCCCACAATGCTGGTTACCATCATAATTGTTAAGTGGAATGATCAGTCTATTTTAACAGAGAGAGACAGAATTACAAAAAAATTTTTCCAGAAAAACACATTTTTTTAAAAGATCACATGAGATCAGTGAGGCGAGATCTCATGCTACTGATCTCATGTGATTTCATGGTACTTAGGCCTCTGTTCTCTGAAACAGAATGGAAAGGAAGCTGGGGGACGCTTCCATGTGCCTCTGGAGGCTGGATTAGGATATTGGAGACCTTTCCCAGGCTGCTGCTGCCCGGATCTCAGGCCAGGGGACACTGCTGTGTGCCTCTGGGGGCTGGATCAGGGGGTTGGAGGGCCTCCAATGCCCCGATTCAGCCTCTGGAGGCACGTGGAAGCATCCCCCGGCCTGAGATCCGGGCGGCAGCAGGAACTGTGGCAGAGAGGCGACGGATCTTTTGAAGGTGAGTCTGGCACGGCAGGAAGGGAGGGGGAATCATGAGGTATCAGTGGATTGGGGAGGCCTTGGGGGCCTGCTCCATCACTAGGCCCTACATGGCCTTTTCCCCCCCCCGAGATACCTCGTGTTCATTTAATGAGCCATGTGGTCTTAACGAGCAAGGGAGTGATCTCGTTCGAGGTACGAGATTCACTCCCATGAGTTTTCGAGTTACGAGAGGACTGGGCAGGCTCCATTACACTTGTAACTCGAGGACTACCTGTACACGTACTGTAATAAATAAATTTGGCCTTCTATCTCCTAACTCTAGATTTAGGTGGTTGAAATATAAATGATTCTTATTTAACCATCTACCTATCTGAAGTCCAATTTCAGAATGATTTTTCTTTTATAAGCAGGGTTCTCTGAAAACAAGGTTGGAAGCACAAAACGAAGAGTATCTTTCTCAGGTTTATGGCAGGCCACCGTACCAAGGTCATAGAAGTACACTGAAGAAATCTCCATATCTGCGCTTCAATTCTCCACCTCCCAAATCAAAACCTCCACGACCAAAAGTAATAGAAAGTGTTAAAGGCAGGTAGTGTTTTATTTTTTTTCCCTTAAGAACATTTCAAACAGCTTGTCTTTCTATTCTAGGATATGCTTTATTCCACCTTGATTTTGTGGAAATTCTGTAGAGCAGGGGTGTCAAACTGCTGGCCCGCGGGCCGGTTTCATCATACCGGAGCCACGCCCACCCCATTGCCGGCAATGGCGAAAAAGCTCCGATATGTCGTGCGACATCACGTGACGTCGCGAGTTTGACATGCCTGCTGTAGAGTAATATAGCTATTTCTAATAAATAACATATTCATGGCATTAATTATCTTTACCACCATACATGCATTAAAAATGGACGCTAATGTAAAGAATTAGGAAAATCTCTTCATTGTTATAGAAATGACTAGTTATACTACTACTCTGTTTCCCCGAAAATAAGACCAGGTCTTATTTTTTTTGCCTCCAAAAGAGGCACCGGGTCTTATTTTCAGGGGGTGTCTTTTCCACGCACCGACAGCACCGACAGCACCGCCCAGCCAGTCAACTTCTGTGGCCGAAGGAGCAGCTTCATTCTGCAACTCAGAACGGAGCTCCGGCCTGCATTTCGCAGTCAGGCTTTCCGGAAGGCTTCTGCAGCCGATAACAGAGCAATGGATTCAATCCATAGCTTGGTTCTTGGCTACAGTGGCCTTCCGGAAAGGCTTAACTGCGAAATGCCTGGGGACACCGCAGAAGAAGTGGGCCGGCAAGGAGAGGCCTGGCTGCAAGGTAAGTAGGTGTGGGGTGCGTGGGGCAGCTCCACCCACCATCCCTCCCTAGCTTGATTTTTAGGTATGTGCCTTGCCCCAAAACTAGGGCTTATTTTTGGGTTAAGGTTTATATTAGGCCCACCCCCAAAATCAAACTAGGGCTTATTTTCAGGGTAGGTCTTACTTTCGGGAAAACATGGTATGTAAAAATAAAAATTTGAGGTGTAATGCTATTATCTTATTCTACTGCACCAAAGGGAGTCGGAAGTCAACGACTTTTCTTTTTTCCCTTTTCTCAACACTTTTCCCTTCCCTTCTCCCTCCCTTATTTTCCTATTTTCTTTTGTATTTTTGTATTTTATATTATAAACTGATAAAAAAGTTAATTAAGAATTAGGAAACTCTCTTGAGCCAGCCGTCCTCCTGTCTCTTCCGAAGAAGGGCAGTCTTTGATTTCTGTAAAATGGAGGATTTCCTGCCAGAGTAGGTCATAGGAGAGGGTTAGTCCCTCTACCATCAGTGTTTCTCAACCTTGACAATTTTAAGGCATGTGGACTTCAACTCCCAGAATTCCACAGCCAGCATTGCTGGCTGTGGAATTCTGGGAGTTGAAGTCCACATGCCTTAAAATTGTCAAGGTTGAGAAACACGGCTCTACCATCCTCCTTCCTGCAGAGATAACTGAGCGAATCAAATTCTAACAGCGTTGTCATTCCACGCTAAGAATGTTTGGGATGCATATGCAGAACCAGCTGCCATGGAACGAACTACCCCCAGAGATCCGGGTGATCCCGGATCTCCCCTCCTTCCGCCGCGCCCTAAAGACATGGCTCTTCCAACAAGCGGGATTGGCCTAGGGAATTTTAGTGGGGGTTTTAAGAGAAATTTTAATCATATAGGCCATAGCAAATATTTCTTTTTAATTCGGTTTTAAATTAGGTATTTATTGTAGCATTGGTTTTATAAGGCTGTCAGCCGCCCTGAGTCCGGTAAGGAGAAGGGCGGGATATAAATCGAATAAATAAATAAATAAATAAATGCCTTGCTTGCCTTATGCAAAGGGGCAGGGTTCACAGCTCTGCCTCTTGGACTTCTAAGGAATGTAAGACACTGCTTGTGTCACCAGAAGAGGCTCTACCCGGGGTTTTTGTTTTGTTTATTTGGAGAAATTAAAAGGTGGAAACGGAAATGAGACCCCTCTGGTAGTCAGATATTTCCATTCCCACATTTAAAATCCCTCCATAACATGAGCCAAAATTCTGTAGCTAATTTTTAGTATCAAAATTGCTGAATTTCAGTGACACAATTTGGGGTTCTTTGGGGGAGGAGGTAAGATACCTCTGAGGAGTCTCCCATTTCTATCACTACCTTTCATTTTTGAAAGGAAGAAGGCAGAGCGGGGCAGGCAGAGATCACCCTACTGAAACTTGACCACGTGAGCCAAATTTATCAGCAAGATCTCAGGGGCTGAGAAACTGCAGGTGGGGGCTAGGAGAGGGTTGCAGATTGCTACAAGAGACCCATATCTGCTTGAACACCAGCCAAACCTATTCGAAAAGCTTTTGTGTGTTTAAAAAAATATTTTTGGTTCATTTATCATACTAAACTATAATATGGTTTATTTGTCTAACTTTGTATGTTGTTTGAACACAGCATTAGGCTTTATAAACTACAGTGGTACCGTGGTACTCAACTGCTTTGAAACTCATCAAATTTGGTACTTAGTGCATTTTGACGTGGAAATTTTGTCCAGGTACTCATTGGTACTTGTCGTTGTTGGCTGTTTTGTAACCCACTATATTATTATGGGAAAAATTTGTTTGGTACTCATCATTTTTGGTACCCATCACACCTGCCAGAACCAATTAACGATGAGTACTGAGGTACCACTGTAGTTTATAGTGTAGAATGCTTTGTTAATAGCACAGTTGTGATTTCTTAAACAAACCATGGCTTACTTTAGAATTGTTTTTGCATAGTGTGTGAGTACATAATTAATCTAATTTCACCAGGTACAAAAGTAAAATCTATCAGGACACAGACCAGCCCCCATCTGGACAATAAAGTTATCAGTCCTAAGAAGGCAGAATCAGTGTCTGCTTTTCACCAGGAGCTGCAGTATCTTTTCAGCCCAACAAAAGAGATTCGTGAAACATCTGGTCCTCTTGAAGGTCATCTCATTCCAATGGCAATCCCATTAGGTATGAATGAAAAAGTGTCCTAAGTTACCCAAGCAACCCTTGTTTAACAAAAAGCCGGTCAGGTAACTGGAGATTCAGTGTTGTTTTTCTTCCGATTATCTTTAATGCCAAGATAAGTCTTAATTTGATACATCTCAGAGTCACTCTATGAGGGATTTGGACAGTCTCCAGACTAGGTAGGTAGGTAGGTAGGTAGGTAGGTAGGTAGGTAGGTAGGTAGATAGATAGATAGATAGATAGATAGATAGATAGATAGATAGATAGATAGATAGATAGATAGATAGATAGATAGATAGATAGATAGATAGATAGATAGATAGATAGATAGATAGATAGAATAGGTCTGTTCTTAAAGCTTGAGGTTCCCACAAATGAGGAAAAAACTCATGACTCCCGATTTGAAACATTATGAAATAGAATTGTGTACTTAATCTCCAGATATCTGTCTCCTGATACCTCAGATTTGATTAGCCTGGTAAGTTAAAAGAAGCTGAGGGACTGAAGTTTGAAGAATTTGAGCCATCCTTTTACTGAAATGATTGGCCTGCCTTAAAATATATGCATGGGTTAGTAGATCTCTCTAGGGCAGCATCCAGTTTGCAGCATTGGCTGATGAGATATCTCTCAGAGAAGGTGATAAGCAGATCATGAAGGAAAAAGCCCTCTTCCGTGGTACTCTCTGAATGTTACTTAATTTACCCCTCGTATGTTTAGCCATTGATAAAGCAAGATAATTGAATAGATAAGCTCCAAGGTATTTTCTGCTTTTTGACCATAAATTCTGATTTATGACTTTTCCTCCATGAACAAGAGAATATACTTTACTTTTGTATACCGAGTTGCAATTTTTCAATCTGTTTTGAATTTCCCATATTTTTTTTCTTTAGATATCTTTTTATCAGATTCATCATTTTTTTTTTTATTTTAGCTTTGCCTATAGTTTTGTACCTGGTTAGAATCCATTCAAGGTAATTTTCATTGCTTTCTTTTGTTTTGAACTTTCATAGGGCAAAAACAGATCAATCTCATCTCACCTCAGCCTTCAGAAATAAATATAGGTGAATTCCATCCTGTTACTGTGACAACTTCTGTTCTTCCCCCTTCCTCTCCCCCACCACCAAAGTCAAAGGTGAACAAGCCCAATGTCACAATAATAGAAGTGAAGTCAGAGAAAAAGGATCCTCCCAAGCTAACTATGCAGGTATGGAATAAAGAATAAGAAATATTTAGTGGCTTAATAGTCCCTTTGAAAAAAAGCATCTTCCTCTGTTTCTACCCCTCTCTGGTAGAAGAGCACAGTGCCCAATTTTGCATTTGGAGACCACAGAAAGAGCACACTATGAATATCAATTTCTGAAAGGGATATTGTAAGGGGGAGGGTAGGTGGGAACATTCATAAAATCAAATTAAGCTGACTTAGCTGAGATATTCTTAGTCTCTTCTGTTATTATTTAACCAGTTGTGTTTTCTAATACACATAATAGTCTTCTGAAGTCACACTTTAGAGTTACTGGAAGTCTGTTAATAGACTGATAATTTATCAAGATAATTAGTAATTTTTAGTGCTGGAATTGGCATGAGGGCAGATTCTTGCCTCTAAGAACAGGAATACCACAACTGCATTTGTTTAAATTTAAATTGATTGGTTTTTTTTTTTAAGAAAAATCCTTTATAAATAAATGTCCCTTCGGTTACTTAGATGGGATGATTCCCTTTTTTTTGTGGAGCAAATATTGCATCAAGAGCTCATCCTTGAGAGATGTCATCATCCTTTTTCATTCAGTTTTTGTTTCTGGAGAATATAGAACAAACCAACCATTTTTAATCTCCTCAGAGTTTCCTTTCTGCCACCTTTGCCACCGCCACGGGAGGGCGGTGTGTTTTTATTCTTGCAAACCACATAGAACCCTTGGATGATGATGAGAGGGAGCAGTGTTAACTTGGCAGTTGGACATCTGGCATGCTGGTTGAGAAATTCTGGGAATGAAGTCCACATATTTTACAATTGCTAAATTTGGAAAATATTGACTTAGAACGGGGGTAGGCAACCTTGGCTCTTTTATGACTCGTGGACTTCAACTCCCAGAATTCCTGAGCCAGCTGTGCACAGCTGGCTCAGGAATTCTGGGAGTTGAAGTCCACGAGTCATAAAAGAGCCAAGGTTGCCTACCCCTGACTTAGAAGTTGTGATTTGGATACAGTTTCCTCTTCTAAGGAAACATAAAGCTTATACTGGGTGGTTTTTGCTAGTTTTCATTGTTAACCATTTTGAGAGTCCTTCAGTTTTAAAAAAAAGGTTTTAAAAACGTTAAACATTAAAAAAGATATTCAAATTTATTAAGAAGAGATCTTATTAAGCAATGTTTTTGTGGCGTGTAATATGTTATTTTGCCCTCATATTATTTGCCTGTTATGATAACAATGTCAGCTTGATGGATGTCCATCCCATTTTCAGCATCCCAGAACAATTGTACTCTTTGCTTTTTACAAGTAGCTTATTAAAATTAATTAATACTTAGTCTTATTGATAGTGGCTGCACAGTTTTCCTTTTCAGCAGAGAAAACTGCAGCTTGAAGTTTCTTCTCTGAAATAAAAATAGCTGTCGGTTGGTGTTGAAAGACCTCTCCCATTTGGCTATTTTCTTTATTCTGGGTATGGTCTGCCTTGAAGAAGGTATTAATGATACTGGAATCTCTACTTTCTGTCTAAAGTACAGGTAGTCCTCGACTTACAACAGTTTACTTAATGACCATTCAAAGGTATAACAGCACTGGAAAAAGTGATTTTTGACAGTTTTTCACCATTACAGCCTTTGCAGCATCCCCATGATTATGTGATCAAAATTCAGATGCCTGGCAACTTGTTAATAATTATGATTGTTTTAGCATCTTAGGGTCATGTGATCACCTTTTGCAACCTTCTGACAAGCAAGTCAATGGGGAGGCCAGATTCACTTAACAACCAGGTTACTAAGTTAACAACTGCAGTGATTCACTTAACAACTGTGGCAAGAAAGGTTGTAAAATGGGGCAAAGCTCACTTAACAAATTCTCATTTAACAACAGAAATGTTGGTCATAAGTTGAGGACTGTCTGTATTAATAAATTACCAGCTATTTGTAATTTTTGTATCCATTGCCACAGGCTGTGCGTGTGGCCTAGAATGATACAAGGCGTGATTGAGATGTGGCTTGTATCCACTTCAGAAATGAAAATCTCAATTTGTGATATTTCTTTGCAGACACTACCTAATATTGATATTGATAGCATCTCAAGTGACACTACAAATGAAAACCAGGTGTCTTTACTACCTGGTCCTACAAAGGCACCAATACAGGTATTTGTTGGTTTCTAATAAGGTATCTTGATTTCCAGTAAGCAAACTTTGTCTAATATTGCAAAAGGGTCGCTGCTGAAGAGAGAATTTAACATTTATTTAATATGCTTCACCTCAATAGTAGTAACTGTGAGAGGGACCTCGGAGTCCTAGTGGACAATCACTTAAATATGAGCCAGCAGTGTGCTTCAGCTGCCAAAAAGGCCAACACAGTGCTAGGCTGCATTAACAGAGGGATAGAATCAAGATCACGTGAAGTATTAATACCACTTTACAATGCCTTGGTAAGGCCACACTTGGAATACTGCATCCAGTTTTGGTCACCACAATGTAAAAAAGATGTTGAGACTCTAGAAAGAGTACAGAGAAGAGCAACAAAGATGATCATGGGACTGGAGGCTAAAACATATAAGGAACAGTTGCTGAAATTGGGTATGTTTAGTTTAACGAAGAGAAGGACGAGGGGGGACATGATAGCAGTGTTCCAATATCTCTGAGGCTGCCACAAAGAAGAGGGAGTCAAGCTATTTTCCAAAGCGCCTGAGGGTAGGACAAGAAGCAACGGATGGAAACTAATCAAGGAGAGAAGCAACCTAGAACTAAGGAGAAACTTCCTGATAGAACAATTAACCAGTGGAACAACCTGCCTCCAGAAGCAGTGAACGCTCCAACACTGGAAGTTTTTAAGAAGAGACTGGACAGCCATTTGTCTGAAATGGTATAGTGTTACCTGCCTAAGCAGGGGGTTGGACTTGATGACCTCCAAGGTCCCTTCCAACTTTATTATTACTATTATTATTATTATTATTATTATTACTATTACTATTATTACTATTACTACTACTACTACTATTATTACTATTACTATTACTACTACTACTACTACTACTACTACTACTATTATTATTATTATTATTATTATTATTATTATTATTATTATTAATTTCGTATAAGAAAAGCCTTGGTATGGCCTAGTTTGAAAGACCCAGGTGATTACAGATTGATGTTGAGTATTTAATAAAAACAGCCATATGAGGAGCTATCCTGAATACAATTACATAATTGTAAACTAAGTAAACTTTTCTTTTAGACCGAAATGTTTTCAATAATAAATGTTACTCTCACATTCTCCAGAATTGATCTGCAATTCTAATTGTTGCTTCTGGGGAACAAATAACTAAAAAAAAAAAAAAACCTCTCGCCATGTGATAAACACATTTAAGATAAAAGCCATGTGAAAAACACTCTTTATTATATTCAGGAAAAATATGCATTCATTACAGAAAATATGCATTTACTTATTGAAACATTTTTCTTGTTTTTATTTTCATGCAGGACTTCTTTCTACTGTCATTCTTTATTTTCATTTCTTTCATTTTTTTCTATACACATTCATCACCTTATTAAAAATGCTCTGCCTTATATTAGAGAATTTCTGTTCATCCTATAATCCTTCACTCTCAGCTCTTCAGCATAAATAATGTTCAATTATGCATTTACATTTATTTCTTTTCCATGTGTATTCATGAATAATGCTTAAATCTTTATTAAAACAAACAAAACTTTTTCTAAGCAACCAGTTAGTATTCTCATTGGTCTTCATGTGGCCAAGTCACTTTGTTTGTACGGTGTCATCCTGTTCCCATCCATACATTCATGTCACATACCTGATTTTCCCCCCTAATACCACAATCTTTCATTTTCTACTACTGTACTTTTGTAGCTAAATTTGAGAGATATCTTAAATCTGTCTTTTATGTAGCCCACTTCAGAAGACAGCCTTCTTCAGGATGAAGAGCTGAAACTTCCAGGTGCTAACTTTATTGATGCTACTGATATTGGTCAGGTCAGTTTTATGATGCTCTATGTTGCAATATAGAAAAGTAGCTTAATCTTTTTAAACATTGCTGTTCTTACCCATTGCAGCTTGTTGGCTTTCATTTATAATAGGCTATTAAATGCATGATAGCCTATTATAATAGAAACAAATCAAATTGTGTGCTTCTGTTGTGTTTATGCTTAAAATGACAGGATCATCATTGATTGGTGCTGACAGTCTGGTAATGGAGGCAGATGGGGGTTTTCTGTCTAATTTCTTCATCATCATCATGCTACCTTAAATTCCTATAGAAAAAGCAAGTTATGAGTTAAATGTGTAATATTTCCCTATTTTTATAGGAAGCAATAACTTCCTCCTAGTGAAAATCCTTTTTTACTTAAATGCCTTTACTCAGGCGTTTAGTATCAGCTTAATGCAAAAAAGCAGCTTATGAAATAACATTAAAAGAGACAAAGACATCAATTTATAAGATGTGAAAGAAATTTCTGCCTTCTTCCCCATATCTTTGGGAATTATAAACCTTTCAAAATCATTCTAGCTTGGGCACCTTTGGCTTGTATTTCCATAAATGACAAGCTGGGTAATACACAAGAGTTAGTTTTAATCTGAAAGTCTACTTACTGATATTTGAAAATGTAAAAATACTTAAGGCATTAAGAAACATTTTCCTAACAGGTTTTTCAAAGAACAAGCATGCAAGTGTCCATGAAGTGTTTAGCAGCCTATTCACTTCATGTTAAAAAGAATATATGAGTGAAGAATAATATTATCTACTCCTCATTGCTTAATGCATTCCTTGTAATGCACCTTAATGCTGGTTTTGTTCTTTCACTGGTCTTAACTTTATTTGTTCCCATTGCTATTTGTTTGTTTTGTAGTCTAATTTGTATGCTACCTTCTGTGATGACGCATGCAACTTCACTTATAGGTAATTGGGGTGCCATCACATCAGTAAAGTATGGTATCACTAAAACAAACAAGTAATCACACAACTTTTTAGTTTTTAAGCTTTTGACCTCTCAATATGAATATTAACTTGAAACTCTTATCTCGATTGCTGTAATGCCTCCATCTGCCCAGATCAAACTCTAGTACTGGTCATCCAGGATGTGACCCTAGAGCAGGGGTAGGCAACCTTGGCTCTTTTATGACTCGTGGACTTCAACTCCCAGAATTCCTGAGCCCTGCCCTAGAGTATCTAAAATCTGAATAAGCTCTGCTGCTTTTTTTCATTCTGCATTTTTTGTATTCACTCTATTGTTAGGAGCCATGGTGGTGCAGTGGTTAGAATGTGGTATTGCAGGCTAACTCTGCCCACAACCAGGAGTTCGATCCTGACCGCCTCAAGTGTGACTCAGCCTTCCATTCTTCTGAGGTCTGTAAAATGAGGACCCAGATTGTTGGGGGCAATATCCTGACATTGTAAACTGCTCAGAGAGTGCTGTAAAGCCTAAGACTGCTATTGCTATTAATGTGGTAAATAGATGTACTGAATTCAAAAGCAATTATTACTGTGAATGTATGTTAAATGTTGTTCGGCTGTGTTGCCATCAGGAAGAAGGAGATGATGATAGGATGTCACAATTCTCTGAACCATTCCTACACTTCAGCAGACAAGGAGACATCGGCTCTGCAAAATATAACGGGCCTCCATTTCCGCCAGTGGCTCCAGCACCCCAGGTTTCAGCCGATATTCTTGATGAGATAATAGGAAAACGAGAGACCTTGGAAAACAAATTGGTTAGTTGGTGAGTTCTCAATGACCATGAAATGGTGAT